CACGTTTCTCATGCAATAATCTTGTCTAGAGATGATCACCAGTCGGGGAGGTTCTCAAATGAATTAAGTCACTCCAAAAAACTGACCGTACTTGGTTCCACACTTAGAAGTCTGGCAAAATGAAATGTAGCCGAGGAAGAGACTGCCGTTCGCCTGTCTCCACTGGGAATGTTTTTATAAACTCTGGAGATGGTTTGGGAGGCTTTAAATGATAAATGCCGCAGGATGTTTTCATCACCGCTGCTATGTGTCAGCTGTTCTTTAATATCAAAGAGCCGGAGGACGAGGAGGGGTACCGTGAAATGCTCTCTTCCGGAGATGGCTGTTACAACATGAACATGGGGCAGCTGTGGTTACCTGCACAGACCCTGCACAAGACTGAGGCGGTCAAACCTCGGGCATCAATCGGGGAAGATGGTCTCGGGGCTCCCCCCCCATACTGAGGAGCTGTTGGCAGTGGATGGTAGCTGGGGACGGGAGAAGCACCCTTTGCTTCTCGAGAATGTGGTCACTGGTTTCCATTCTGGCAGATGCCCCAAACACCTGTACATATGGGCGGCACTGACTAGACTTAGTGGTTATCAAGAAACAAAAGAGGGCATGGATTTAGGATGGGGGAGGAAAGGAATTGGATGGTAATGGGAGGTAATTATGATCGTATTTCACTGTGTACGAGTATGAAATTCTTGAAAATAGGGGGGAAAAGGTTTGCGTGTATGTCAGTGTGCTACTTGCATGTTTTATGCCTGCAGAGGCCAGAAGCGGGTTGAAGCCCCTGGAACTGGAGTTACAGATAGTCATGAGCCATCTTGAGGGTGCTGGAAATTGAACCCCCGTCCTCTGGAAGAGTAGCCAGTGCTCTTAAACACGAAACCATCACTCCAGCCCCCAGTAAGGAAACACTTTTTAAATGCCTTCAAAATGAAAAGGATTCTAAAGATGCTTTTTAAACATGTGTTCTTAGAGTAAGGGGAATTTGTCTGGAATTCCTTCATAATTAGTAACTATTTTACATGTAAAGTCTATTTTATCTACGCAGTCGACTACAATGGCTTTGGGAGGACTTTTACATAGAGTTATTTTTCATACTCCTTCCTCTTTTAGAACTGGTAAAATACAGAAATATTTATTTCTATCTCCCCACGTCTAGACTCCCTCGGGCTCTGGCTATTTCGAGTCCACGGCTGGTGTTTTTAACCCCTAGCACACATTCTTTTCTTTCATCTCTGTGATTCCTGGTCACCCTTCTCAGGCTGTCTGGCTAATCTTGCTGATATTTCTGGGGCATACATGGACTCAGAATATGTGACTGAGGGAATAAAAAGAATCAGATAGGACCATAGTTCTGGACCTTTCTTTTACCTAAGAGATTTTTTCTTTATTGGTATGGAAATGAGCAGATGTCGGATAACCTCTGCCCAACCTGGAGCATTCCTGCTTACTCCAGGGACTTTCTCCGGGCTGATGTTCCCTGGGCTTTCTGTCATAGCTATCAGAATGATCTAGGTTAGCTCAAAAAAGGAGAGATTCATTCCTTGGCCCCTCTTTCTGGCTCAGTTCCTTGACTGTCTATAAAACAGGAGACATTCTTGCCACGACGTAGGAAATGTTTTATATCTCCACAGTGAAACACCACAGTGGGGGAAGGACAGCCCTCACCTAAAGGCCCACCGCTTTTCCATAGCCCAGCCTTCAGCTTTCTCTGAGGGCTTCCGCTGAGCAGCGCTGAAGGAGAAAAGGTATAAACTGGCAGGTGCTTTCTCACTGAGGTGGTAAAAGTCAATCAGCAGGTTTTACAGCCCGACCCCAGGATCACACATCTCCCTGCTCAGGTAAGTTGCTTTTAAGAGGATGAATTCAGAGCGGAGTCGTCACCCCCAGGGTCTTGAGAGTCCAAGCAACAATCTGTCTAATGGCTGGACCTGCCTCCACTCTTGATCTCCTCTCTAGAAAACTCAAAGTATCACCACCACCACCTTTCGCTCTACATTTCTTGTCTCTGTCAACATTATCACCACTCACCCCATTACTGGCTACACCCGAGTATGTCCCCCAGGGGCCATACAACTGGTCTACCCTGAAGCTAGAAGCCCAGTCTTCCAGTGGTCACAGACTCAGGCGGTAACCCTCGGAGCACCAGAGCCGCTCATTAACTTGATACGACAACCGGATGACCCTACAGAGATGGTCCAATACCTTATCACCTTTTGCTCACCCCACATTCCCAAAATAAACTGAGGGGAACTCAACTACCTGCAGATGAGCAGGGAGAGGGAAGCCATACGACAGCACAGTGATGAAAACGTGAGCTATCTAATTAAAACCTGAACGAGGGCAGTGCCTTCCAACAAAACCCTCAAATCCTATACACCGTATATCTCAAGGATATTGTCTCTTAGATAAATGTCAGTGTTATAGTTTTCCCTGAAGAATGGAAGCACTTCCAAACCTTGCCTTGTGACATTCCAACAAGCTGAATCACTGCTTCCCACTGCTGTGTTAGTGGGAAAGTTAGAAAGTGGGTGAAACTCTAAAGAATTGATAAAATGCATTTAAAATGAGAAAACTGACTCACTAATATTGCAAGATAAATCAGTGGAACAAAAAGCATCAAAACCAAATCCATTCTTCAGTAACAGATTTCAGGACATGCTTTTCTGCCTTTGACTTAAGAATGGCTATAGAAAGGCTTTTCATTCTACCTAATACGGTTTAATACTCTATTTGTGAAAGTATTCCCCAAATACGGTTAAGCATCTTAAGTGAATTGTGAAGATGATTTTTGCTAATTATCCCTCAAAAACATGTCTTTATCTTCCCAGACTCTTGTTCTCCAGGGCAAATTACATGTTGGGGTCACAATGACATCCCTTGTTCTCCCAAAACTTAACTCTTTCAGCGCCTACAGGCTACAGAAGTTTTGCTCATAAATCAGCACTCATATAGTTTACTCATAAATCCAGCTCTGAGGATAAGAAATGCCTTGTCTCCAATGGACAGGGCCCACCATGCATGGGGCACCAGAGGACATGGCATTTGTTTGACTGAACTGCTGCAAAGATTAAAGATGTTATGGAAATTGCATCTAATGAGAGGGTGACAATGCTTAACACCTACACACACCCCCTAAAGTTATCATGCCCAAAGACAATCAGTAGGTAGTGAAAATTAAGGCTCCATCTCTCGCTTACCAGCAATGAGCTAACCCAAAGCACCCTTGTGCCCGGCTAAATCCTGCAAGCCCCCTTGTACCTAATGCTGTGTCTTGAAGCAACTCCGGCAACTGTGTGTGACATTCAAATGCTCACTGGGTCACTGACCATCCCCATTACTCACAGCCCTCCTCCCCTGGGTCAGCAGAGCACTGAGACTTGCTACATCCGGTCCTGCGTCTGGAGCCATCACCTCCCTCTACAGTATGATCAGCTTCACAGCACCACTTTAATTTCAGCCGATAAATACAACCATCACGGGCACTGCACGGCCTCCCAAGCGGTGTGAAATGAATTTTCCAGGCGGCCTCAACAAAAAACAAAGGCCCGGGCTATCGCACGACCCCATAAATCACAAAGCGTGTGGTTAAGCTCCAACCTTTGTTTCTTCCTGCCCGTATTCCTTCACCCCTGCCTTTTTGGGGGGACAGGAGTTGGTGCTTCTTCACTTGTGCACAAGAGGAGCGGTCAAACAACAACACAAAGAGCCCCTCAGAGCATGTGACCTCAAGGATGTTCTGAGATGATTTTGGTGGCCCGCAACTGATTAGGATGACAAAGATCAGCCACTGTCACACCTCAGACACCGGGCTCTCTCCAACGTGTGTCTCTCTCACCCCGTCCACACTCCACTCTTGGCAACCCTGACCAGGAATGTGAATGCATGATGGACTGTGGGTCCACCGGAGGACAAGCTCTCTGTGGACAAGGACAGCCCCCTGCTGTCTTCAGGGCTGTACTTTGAACTGGGTGGACAATCAGGAAATATTGATTACAAAAAAATAGAAAATAAGTCTGTAGTTAGGAAAAGGTGTTAAATCAGGGCAGTGTGGCATGCAAGGCCAAGAAATTCTCCTCACCCTGAGATTTACTCTTGGGATGTCCTGGAGGATTAATGATGGAACTACAGAAATGCCAAACTGACAATAACCGAGCTAATTACTCTTGAGATAAGTTCTAGATTTATAAAACCAATTCTCCTGGCGGTGATTTTTTTCACATTTTAAATTTTACAGCAGTCTGTGGTTGTCTGTGCAACTGCACCCTGGTATAGAAAACACGTGTGTGTGTGTGTGTGTGTGTGTGTGTGTGTGTGTGTTTTTGCGTGTGTGTATAAGCAGATGCGGTTACTCCTAAACTTCGCTATTCAAAATCACAATACTTCATTTCAAAAGTCACAGAAAAATAAACCGGAAAATGCCATTGTACGGTGTCGGCCGCCTCCACAGCCAGTCACTGTTTTCTTGATGTTTCTCTCTAACCACTGATTTTTTTAAAAAAAAACTCTTTGAAGTGGAAGAGTAAATATTATCATGTTATAGTACTTGGGCCCAACTGTGCAAATACAAGGGCATTGTGTTCCGCTCGGGGGCCCGGGCCGGTCACACCTTGCAGACGGGGCTGCTATGGAGGAACCAACGTCGCCTATTAAATAAGCGCAGGGGCAGGTCGGGCTGTAACTCAGCTCTCACAGCGAGCCACCTCTTAACCCTCCTCACGCAGCCACATGGGAGTGTTCAGGGAGAAATGCTGGCTTCGGAAAATGGGTTTCTGCGGTGCAGGGGAGGTGGGCCACGCGTGAGCCCTGAGAGGCTGCACCTCCCAGCAGCTGGCTTTTACTGCCCCCTCTAGCCCGCTGCTGCAGGCTCGCCGAGCGGGCGGGGAGAACGGCAGGGCAAACGCCCTGGGGCACCCTCCTGCGCCGCGAGGCCCGGGGCTCAGCCAGGGGCCCGGAGGCAGCATCCTGAGGTGGCCGCAGCTCCCCGCGAGCACCCCGCCGCGGCTCACCTTGCCCGGGAGGGGTCCCGGCAGCAGCAACTTGAGAGCCTGCCTCTTGAGCTCCACCAAGCGGGCGTTGCAGTTCTCGCACCAGACGCCGCGGTCCGAGCCGGGGGAGGAGCCGCCGCCGCTGCCCGAGCCGGGGGAGCCGGTGCCGAAGCCCGGCGAGCCGCCCAGGGAGCCCGGCGAGCTGGTACCGATGCCCGGGGACGCGGGGCCCGGGGAGCCGGTGAAGGAGCTCGGGGACGAGGTGCCCGAGCCCGGGGACGGGGTCCCGGACGAGCCGAGCGCGGAGCCCGCGCCCTCGGGAGTGGGCCGGTTCCCGGTGCGCGACTCCTCGTACGCCTTGCGGTACCAGCTCTCGGGAGAGAAGGGCGCGGCGGGCTTGGTGGGCGAGCACGCTTCGCCGACCTGCGGGAGAGACGCGCGGCGTCAGGCCCCGCCGGGCCCCCGGCGCCCGGGGGGCCGCGCCGTCCCGCCCCCCCCCCCCTCGGCCTCCATTCCACCCTCGCCGGCGTCACCGCACACCGGTGCCCTCCCCCCGGGGGTCGGCAAAAGAGCTCGCGGGGCGCGGATGCCCCGCAGCTCACGCCAGAACCCCAGACAGCCAGCGCCCCGCTCTTCCGGCCCCGGCACCCACACCTAGCAATTGCCTAGGCACACGGTGCTGGAGCATCCTATCCCGGGGGCGGGGGGCGGTGACTTCGGGGTGTCTGCTCTTTCGGGGTGCAGCTCTCCGGGTCCCGGGGGTAAAAAGAAAGGCGTCTCCCCACACCCCCCGCGCTCCGGGCCAGCGATCTGAGGGGGGAACCGCAGAGGAATTCCTGGGGAGGAAGCTCCCCCTCGGCTTAACTCTGCAAAAGTTAGGGGTGCTGGGGAGGGGAGGGCCGGAGCCGGGAGAGCCGCGGACCCGCCTCCGCGCACGCTCGGCCCCGCCGGCCCGCGGACCCGCCGGGGCTGGGGACCGTGCGCCCGTCGCCGGCTCCCGGGAAGCCGAGGCTACCCCGCCCGGGTGGGTCCCCGGGAACGCACGTCCGCGCGGACGCGGACGCAACTCACCCCGTATCTCTTGCCCCGGCTGGAGACCGCAAGCCTCTCTTTATTCCCAGCCACCGAATTCATGGTGGCTCCTCCGGAGGACAGGGTCCAAACGCTCCCGCCAGGCTGCATCCACAGGGCCTGCCGACCCCGAAGGCGTCCCCGCCGGTGGCGGGGGTCGGTCCTCAAGTCAAGGTCTCCTGATGGGAGGGTGGGGAGGGGAGCGGGAAGAATAAAAGCAAATGGACCCCCGAAGTGACAGCGCCAACGGGCAGGGAGGGCTGGGGCGGCGGGTGGCTCTCAGATAATGGGTTCCTTCATGTCTCTGCCGCCTGCAGCCGCGCGTCCTGCCTTCGCGGTCACATCCAGACCGCTGGCATCCTCCTGCTGCCGGAGCGGCGCGGTCTCCTCCGGCGGGGCCGCCGAGGGCGCGGGGCGGCTGCCGGGAAGGTGGGTGAGCCGTCGCCCAGCCGAGCCGGCGGTGGGAACTCGCCTCCTTCCCCGAGCTCTCTAACTGAGTTCAAAGAAATTCTCCCCAAAATATAAGGCTCCAGACTCGGGGAGGAGCCTCGGCGTGTCGCCGAGCCAATATGCGCCGGCCCGTTTTTTCCTCCTGACAGTTGCGCGCAGGGCGGTGGAGAGGGCGGCCGTGCGCGGCCGGGGATGCGGCCGGAGGTCAGGACGCGCGTGTGCGCCCGGGCGCAGCGCGGAGCTTGGGGAGCCGCGGCCCCGCCGCCTCGGAGCCCGCCCGGCCGCCGCCGCCGCCGCCGCCGAGCCAGCCCCGAGCCATTTACGGCCGGGCGCCCGGGCCTGGCATCGCCAGGCGCAGCCGGGGCGGGGGCTGGAGTTGGAGGGGGGCGGGGTCGTCAATCTGGCTCCGGGCGGGGAAGTTGCTGGCTCCGGGCCCGAGGCCGGGGGCTCCGGCGCTGCCCACCGCGCGAGCCTGCAGCCCCGAGCCGGCCGCGCTGCGCGGAAATGCGGCGCCCGGGCCTCCCCGCCCCCTCCCGGGAGCTGCTCTCCTCCTCCCGGCGGCGAGGCGCGCGGCTCGGCCCTTTGAAACGCCGCCGCGCGAACCGATTGAGTCACAAACAAGTCCGCAAACAGGCCGGGGCTAACCCCCCGCCCTTTGTTCTCCCAGACCTGCCTGGCAAACCTTTCCTCCACTCGCCCTCCCAGCCCCAGCCGGCTCGGGGTCCCTCCTCCCCACCCCCGCCCCCCGGACCCGGGTCTGAGCGCCCGGGGGAGGGCCGAGCCCGCCCACCGGCCCAAGGGTGTCCCTGTTAATGCCGGGGAGACCTCCCGAGACCCGCACAGGTGAGCCGGGGAGCCAGCGCGCAGCTGCCGGGCTGGGGAAACTGAGGGATCGGCCGCGCCGCACAGGCGCGCGGGAGGACTGCACGGGCCTGGAGAGGGGGTGTGGCGCGGGCCTCAGGCGGGGGGTCGGCCCCCTCGGGCTCTGGCACGTGTGCCCGCCAGCGCCCGGACCCGGGGGGTGTCCGGGGCACCCAGCTGTCGCCGGCTGTCCGGTTCTCCCCCCCCCCCGGCCCCGCCCCCACCCCGCGCAGCGCCCCGGAGCGCGGGGACGCGGGCTCCACACGTGGCTGCTCCGGGGTGTCGTTTTTCATTCCCCGGGAGGACGTTTCTCGTGGCGAGCCGGCGGGTCTGTTTTGTGGTGACCTTTAATTAACACCCCGCGAGACGCCTCCTGCAGGAGCGGCCGGGCGCGGGGATCACGTGTGGTGCAATGGCATCTCGGCACCCCGGAAAGACCTGGCCTGGGGCTAGAGGTGGGGGCTGGAGGGCGACGTGGCGGGCCTCCCTGGCCTCTGCCTCCCTCCGGACAGCCGCGTCAGGAGGAGGGAGCGGGGGACCTCGGTCCGGGGTGCTGGAACCCTGGGCAGCGCCCCCCAGCCGGCCTTCCCGCGCGGCCCTCCCCGCCCAGCGCCCTCTGCAGCCCGCGCCCCCGGGGTCTTTCGCAGCCTCGGGAAGCGAGGAGAGGAGGTCAAAAGGAAGATGCTGCGACCACTGTGGAAGTTTCCATTACGCGCCTACTCTCCATTTCAACGGGATCACGTCTGCCGGGGACCTCAGGGGGACGGGGAGCCTCCGGGCAGCCCGCGCCGGCCGGCTGCCGCAGCATCTGCGTGCTGCCTGGGTGCTGCGGGAAAGATGTCGCCATTAGCCACGCGCGGCCTATCAGCCCCAAGGCAGCATGCGGCCAGGTGAAATGGACGATGCCGTGAATCCCGGAGTGGGAAAGGTGGGGTGTCGAAGGGGGAGAGCCGCCGCGGAGCTGCGCGATTCGCCCTGGAGAAGGATGGGTCCAGAAAGGTGCATCCCAACGTCCCCGCGGTCCACCGCGTGTTTGGTGGGCTCCGAGCGCCCTCTGTTGGCGAGATGTTATAGCTGGCGGCTCCTCAAGAGAGCTGGTGTGAAATCTACATACAGGGAAATGCATACAATTTAAGTGTAAAACGAGTTTCTATAAATATCTGTGTATGAGTGTGTGTATATGCAATCTTATATAGTCCGCCAGAAAATTAAGATGTAAATTCTTTTCACTGAAAAGAAGTCCCTCTTCCCCCGTAGTCTCCACCTCCATTAACAATCAACAATCCCAACTTCCATCACCACACATCAAGTTTTAACTGATCTTGAGTGTTTTTTTTGTTTGTTTGTTTGTTTTGTTTTTGTTGTTGTTTTGGTTCGGTTTGGTTTTGTCTACAGAATCCATACATCTTTTGTGTTTGGCCTAACATGGGTTTGGGGTTTCCTGTCACTGTTCGCATGGGTCTGTTTCCTATTTTGCTGTCTTACATTCCTCCCTCCTGCTTGCCTTTCTTGTTAATTGAATAATGTCTTCGTATTCTTTTGCCCTTTGAGTGGGTTTCTAACTCTAATGACTCTCAGATGACTCTTTGACTTAGCCTGGGCTGTTTAGAGGTAACATTGTAGAGTTCATTAAAACGCACACTTTCAGCAAGCCCAATTTCATTTTACCTCTGTCCTTTGGGCTAATGATTTAAATCTACACGTTAAAAAAAAGTCCACAATATGATCGTTTCATTTATATTTTAAACAGTCTGTCTTTCCGAGGCACTAGGGAAAACGTGGTTTTGTTCATGTATTTACCCAGTTTTTGTTTTTTTTTTTTCATGTCTGGATTCTATTCCCCACCCCACCCCCGTAGAAACTGAATTCTTTCCAACTGAATTCTTTTCTTTCTAGAGAACTTCCTTTAGCCTTTCTTTCTTTCTTTCTCATATTATGTGTATAAGTGTTTTTGTTGGGGTGTGTGTGTGTGTGTGTGTGTGTGTGTGTGTGTGTGCACGCTCATGCTCCCTCTAGAAGCTGGTTGCTAGACCCCCTGGAACTGGAGTTACAGACTGTTGTGAGCTGCCATGTGGGTGCTGGGAACTGAACTCTGGTCCTCTGCAAGAGCAGCCGGTGCTGGAACCTCTGGCCCATCTCTGGGCTCCTCCTTTAGCGTTTCTTGCACACTCCTGGCAGCAAATTCTCTCAGTTCTGCTTCTCTGCCTTACCCTCTGTTGAAGGCCTGTGTAACCAGATGTGGAATCCTCAGTGGTGGCTGCTTTTAGAATGTCCTCTCTGCTCTGTCCTTTCAGATTAGAGGTGAACTGCCGTTGTCATGGATATTCCTCTGTATGTCAAGTGGTCCTTTTTCCCTGGGGGCCTTGAAGATTTTACTTTCTCAGAGTTTGACTAAGATGCTCCTGGGTGTGGATCTGTGCCCACCCAGCTTAGAGAGTTTGTATTAGCTGCTGTTCTGTTGCCGTGGTAAGTGTCCTGACAAAAGCAACGTTAGAAGGAGAGCGGGTCATTCTGGCTTACCGTTTCAGAGGCCACCATGGGGAAGACATGGCAGCGGGGAGGAAGGCAGGTGGTGTGAAACTGACAGATCCCATTCCATTCACACACAGGAGGCACACAGAGAGAGGGGAGACCAGGCCTCAAAGCCTCCATCCCAGTGATGCCCTCCATCCAGCAAGGCTGCCCCTCCTAAACCTCCCCACACAGGTGCTCCACCTTGGGATCAAGGGTTTAAATGCATGAGCCTACGGGGGTGGGGGTGGGGGCATTCCTCATTCCACTGACCACAAGGTTGACCTATAAAATTTTCACCAAATTTGGGACATTTTCAGCCACTATTTATTCAAACCGTCCCACTGTCCCATGTTGTAACTCTCTGTCCTGAGATTCCAGCATGTATGTTGTCATCTTACTGGTCATTTTAGGCATTTTACTCCCGTTCTCAGATCCCATCGTTTCAATTGTTCCCTTATTAATTTCACTAGCTCTTAGCCTCTCCGGCGAACATTACCTCACGTGAGTGTGTGTGTGTGTGTGTGTGTGTGTGTGTGTGTGTGTGTACGCATTTGTATATTCCATTTCATTTAAACTCCTTGCCATAGAATAATTCCACTTTACCCTTCCTTTGTTAGGGTAGTTCTATTTAATTGTTTTTATTACAGCTAACTAAAATGTCTCTTTGTCCCGGTACTCTTTCTTCAGACCTCAGATGTGGTGCTACAGAAAGTCCTGAGTTTTCCAAGCATCTTGAACTTGAGACTGAGCTCAGCTGCCCCAAAGCAGGTAAAAGCACTATTCAACTCTCTCATCACCTGCGTGCCACTTTCCTGGGCTTCTTGAAGACCTTCTCTGTCTCAGAATTCAAGGATGCCAGTTAAAGATCAGGAGGAAACTTGACACAGTCTTTAAGGTAGCCTTCTTGTGGCTGGGTCTGCTCCATGGTGTCTCTGCTCTCGTACACCCACTGAGAGCCCTGAACACCAGCAGGTACAACCTACACCGTGAGGAGTGGTTTTTCCTGCAGCGCAGGCTCTGTGCTCAACAGAACCTTCTCTCAGGGGCTGAGCACCCGAGTATCTGCCTGCTGTTCACCATTCTGGGGGGCGGCAGGGAGGCTTTGAATGGTTTGTTATTGGTGTTCGTGTCCATTGTATCATCATTTTTGTTGGAAGGTTTTATTTTGTATGTGAGGTATTTGCTCCCTAATTCTATTGCCAAAGGTTTCTTCAGCATATTGTAAGTCTCTGGAATTCTCTTTTTTTTTTCCTGGTGAAACCCAAGGCCACACACACACACACACACACACACACACACACACTGGAGAGGCGCTCCACCACTGAGCCACACCCCAGCTGAGGCTGTTACACAGTTTCAAGGGGAGACTAGCTGAGACTAGCTATAGATTTATTTTCTCTTCGCCTGAAGAATCCCAATGACACAACTAAACCTTTGCAAAGAGGGATAGGTGAAATCAGTGGAATGTCTCTCATTTCTTCACATTCCAGGATGTTGATAGTATTTCAAGATTTGGCTCCTTTTTAATTACCCTTACTTTACGAAGGAAAAGAAGTCATATATAGACTCATAATAGTTCAAACCATCTATGAACTATTGATTCAATCGATACTTTTGGGTGAGAAATGGGGTCTCTGGTTCTTCCATGACCACAAAACACAAAAAGGAAAAAATTTAAGTCCACTATCTGATTAAGAATGAAATTCATAATCCTTCCTTGTTAGTTAATTATTAAGTGCACATAACTTCTTTGGGGATGCTTCACTGGGGCCTTCATATTTCACAGCACTCTGTTTAGCTTCTCCTTTGTTTGTATCTCAAAGACGAATGGCTCATAAAATTTATAGCCAAAATATATTATGTCATTGTGTTTTGGAAAGCCTAAAAGTACGAGTTAGAAATAAAAGCCCCAATTCAGCCTGGCAATTCCTAATTGCTCCACAGAACACAGAATCTAACAGATTCCACTCCTTTTTAATATCTTTCTTTTGAGCTAATTTCCATATCAGTCCAGGCAGCAACATGCCAAAGGAGCCGGCAGAGTGCATGTGCCAGAGGCGGCTGGGTTTCTCCTTGAAAGATAATTAAAGCAGCTTACGCTGTCCATGTGGCATCTTGATGAATATGCAGACGATATTTGCATATGATCTACTGGTGTTCTGGGACCATATGATCATGCGTGTGGGATGCCAAGCTCATGATTTTAATTTGTGTGTTTGGTCACTACTGTAGTGGAAGTCGTTGTCCTTTGAGCCTAAGAAGGCTTTCACTCTTAGAATATTGTTTCAATGGTTAATTACTTTATGCCTAGAAATTCCTTTGGTGCTAAGTTCCAAATCTCCTCCACCCCGCCCCGCCCCAGTGCTGGGGGTGGAAACTAAATTTGCCCAGATTAAGCAAGTGTCCCACCTCCCAGCCCAATTCTAAGCCTTGACTTCATCCCCAAACTGCCACCTCAGAAGACAAAGGTAGAGAGAAAGAAGATGTGTTAGCAAATGCCACATGGCCAGAGTAGTCCCTTTTTGTTGTCAGACAACGAGCTGCCAGTTAAAAGAGTAACGGACAGGGGGACAGTGAGTGTCAACGTGCCAGCCTCGGGATCTGACAAGCCTGGGATGTGCCACCGAGGAACACCAGGGTCAGTGTGGTACATGCTTTCACGCCTGCACTTGAAAGGTAAAGGCAGGAGGATCAGCCGTTCAGGCTTAGGCTTGGCTATAGTGAGCTTGAGTCCATGTTGGAAGGAAGCAGAAGTGAGAGGGGAAAAGGGAGGGAAGGAGGGAGGGAGATGGAGTGAGAGGGAGGGAAGAAGGGAAGAGTAAAGAAACGGAAAAGCTGCAGAAGTTCAGGATATGAAGAAAACCAACCTGCAGCCAACAGGCCAGAACACCCTCCTCTAGGACAAACCTGGAAACATCTTCATTAAGATACAGGACGTCAGGCTAGAAAGATGCTCAGTGGTTAAGAACACTGACTGTTCTTGCAGAGGACCCAGGCTCAATTCCCAGTGCCCCCCTGGCAGCTCACAGCCACCTGTAACTCCAGTCCCAGGGGATCCAACACCCTCTTGTGGACTCTGAGGGCACTGCACTTACACACACACAGAGGGATACTTTAAAATAATAATAAATTGTAATATGATTTTATCACCAACCACGCACCGTGCATGGGCTGGATCTAGACCCCTGCACATATACAGCAGATGTGCAGTGTGGTCAACATGTGGATCCCTGGCAATGGGAGTAGGGGCTGTCTCTGACTCTGTTGCCCTCCACTGGTTCCCTTCCCCCTCACTGGGCTGCCTTGTCAGGCCCCAGTCGGAAAGGATGCTTCTAGTCTTGCTGTGACTTGAGGTGCCTGGATGATTTGATACCTCTTGGGGGCTTCCCCTTCTCTGAGGAAAAAAGAGAGAGGGAAAGGAGGGAGACGAGTATGAGGGCGGGACTGGGAGGGAGAGGGCTGGGATCAGGCTGTAAAAAGATCAAGTTAATAAACAAATGGGAAAACGATCCGGGGTATCCGAGGAAGTCACAGCCACAGTCCTAGTGGAGGGGTCATGAAAAACTGATGAGGATGGTGGCTTTGACGTGGGCCCTGTAAACTTGCACAGGGGAGACTTCAGACAAGACGCAGAAAGGCTCTGGGACCCATTTATCATGATGGCTGCTTCACTCAGTACACTTACCAAGGAAAGTGTCGCTGCGTACACGTGAATGAGAGTGAAGTTTACATGTATACATAGCTAAAGAACAGGGGTTGTTTTGGTTTGGTTTTCCGTGCTGTTGTTGTTTTAATTGAGATGGAAGAGAGAAAAGAAGAAACAAGAATGAGGGACAGTTTAAGAGCTATCAGCATTCCATCAGATAAAGGAGCTGAGCCGAGGGGCCTGGAGGAGTCCAAATGATGTCCAGACACTGAAAATGAGTAAGAAAGATGAAGATGGCAGAGGGAGGGAGGTGGTGTGTTTCCTTTAGAAAAGATAATAATCCAGATGCTCGTTCCTCTGGAGTAAAAGTGTCAGATCTGACCCGTGTGGCCACTTCAGGAACTCCAGTGTCCAGCCCCAGACCCATGGATGCCATCTTCGCAGGGATCTTGGGACTCTGAACGCCAGCTTTGGGGAAAGTGTCGAGGCACTGGCTGACTTCTGGTAAGAATAGAAGAGTACTTAAAAAAAAATGAGAATGTGTGATTAATTAAAAAGTTGTGATTTCTCTAAGGAATTGCAGAGTAAGCTCATTGTGGCAGGGTGGGGCACAGCTGTCTCCAACCCGGCCACAGGAGTCTCAGCAGGTGCCAGAGCGGCAGATGAGGACTGTGGAAATGAGAACCAGGAGAGACAGCCAGAGGGGGCTGGACAGAGACAAGCAAGCTTAAAGAGCCAGGAGGAAGAAGGAGCCACCTGCTGACCTGCTAGGACCTAGAGGGACTGGCAGGGAGTGTAGGAGCCCAGGAGCTGCTCCGAGAGGGGTCAGGGTCAAGGCCAGTGTTTCTACAGTGCTGCTGTTGCTCAGACCCTTTGTTGTCTGTTCCCTGAACCAAGAACCAGCAGAAGTGGGGCCTGTGGTAGCCATCACTATGGCAAACGTACCTACTGTCACTCCCCACTTACCTAAGAGTCACGCAGAGCCGCTGTCACACCTCAGTCTACACCACCACCACCCACCCCACCCCCGCGCAAGTCTTTCTATCCGAACTGCCGGGAAAATCAGCGGTCCTGATCAACTCTCATGTGGCCCATTCAACCCCTGAGCTGAAACGTGTATAGGGGTGGATGGATGGAGCGAGGGAGGCAGGGAGGGACACCGATGGGAAAGAGTCAGTGAATGCTGGATGCATGAATGAAAGACTTACAGTTGGGGGTGGGGGGTGGAATAACTTGCTGCTCCGGAGTTGGGGAACAGCAGCAATTTTTGGACTCTGTGTGCACGTATGTGTGTGTATCAGGGTGTGTATGTGTGAGTGCGTGTGAGTATAATGTACAATGTGCATGCTGGCCCTTCATGCTGCTTCTTTAAGAAGGCTGAGGTGGATCAAGTTCTAATCCTTATTTCTTTTCCAATATTAAAAAGTTCACAGAAAAGGGGGGGGACTGCCTTTAATCCTAGCACTTGGGAGACAGAGGCAGACAGATCTCTTCAAACCCAAAGCCAGCCTGGTCTATGTAGCCAGCTCCAGGCCATCCAAGACTATGTAATTAGATCCTGCCTCAAGAAATAAAGAAAATCTCAGGATTTAAATGTAAAGATTTGTTTTAAAACAATAGCATAGATAAGTATCAGGAAATTCAGAAGTTATGGTTTCCACAGCACATCATATGGCCACTGAACTACTATTAAATAAATGAAATTAAGCATTTATATTACCCTTGACATTCAGCCATATGCTAAGCAATCACTTTATTGGTTTATAATTTCTTGCAGCCACCTGTGAGGGAGGAAACATTCTCATTTCCACGAGGATGAAGAAACCTAGTCCCAGGAGAATCAAGCTCCTGCTGTGTGCTTTGCCAGGCAACCAAGTCTCCAGGGAACGGCAGGCAGCAGGGTGAGGTGTCATGGAGTCATTGCTAGGTCCTGCTACCGAGTGCAAGAACAGCTGAAGAGGGCCCGGGATGAGATCCCCGTGGCCAGGTTCTCTGCCTGTGCAGAACAGCAAGCACATACTGCGAAAAGAAGAAACAGAAGAAGAAGGAAGCAGAAGGGGGAGTGGACATAGAAGAGGAGGTGGGGAAATGGGATGAGGGTGGAGGAGAAGGGGAATTGGGAAGAATGAGGAGCAATAAACCCCGGGGTCCTGTAGCAAAGGAGCCGTGCCTGGCATCTGGGCACCTTCCCATGCTTTCACTTTAAGGCAGCCGTAAGACTTCACCAGAAGCTAAATGTTCTGCACTTTCCTGTTCTGAATTTCATGGGAGCTCAGCTGAGATGAACAAGTGCATGGACCCAAAGTCACAGCTCTAACAGCCTGAGGTAGAATGAAGCCTGTGGCCAACATTGGCTCTGGGCTTAGCTGGCACTTGTCTCTCTCTCTCTCCTTATTCTTTGTGTGACTGGAGGGGGGCCCTCATTGTATCACCTAGGGTGGCCCTGAAATCCTGGGCTCAAGCAATCCTCCTGCCTCTGCCTTCTAAGCAGCTGGGATCGTAGGTGTGCCCCAGCACCTAGTTTTAATTGTCATCTTTCTAAATGATTTTTTTAAGATTTCTTTATTATTTATACAGTATTCTGCCTGCCTGCAGGCCTGCACACCAGAAGAGGGCACCAGATCTCATTACAAATGGTTGTGAGCCACCATGTGGTTGCTGGGAACTGAACTCAGGACCTTTGAATGACCCTTAACCTCTGAGTCATCTCTCCAGCTCTCTCTAAATGATCTTTAAGGAGAAATAAACAGCAGCACATGAGAAGCAGAGACAAGACAAGCAGACTGAGAGGTGTCAGCATCACCCCCTCAATGTGAATTTAAGTGTGAAAACAAAGAACCCCAAAGGACGAGGAAGCCAAAATCAGGAATGTGGGCCAGAGCGCCATACTTCCCACAGCTAAGAGCAGGTTTTAAATGCCCCATCTTTTAGCAGACATTTAGAAAATGGCCTTCCATAAAGAAAAAACAAGAAGTTGAGGGTTGGACTAGCAACAGGCTCAGTGGGTAAAGATACTTCGCTGCCAAGCCTGACTTTGATCTCATGGCCCACAAGGAACTGACTACTACAAGTTATCCTCTGACCTCCACACAAGTGCAGAGGCATGTGTGCCTACACACACACACACACACACACAAATAAACAAATAATAAGTAATAATGTGATTTTAAAAATTAAGTAGTAGGCTCAGAGTTATTATAAGCTATTGCTCCTTCAAGGCAGACCCGCTTCCTAAAAGACTCAGCTTAATCCAAGCCGGTTTCATCCCATTGCTCTGGAACTGTGTTCAAAGGCCACCTAATCCCTAACATGTAGCCAGCATGGCTATCCACACATCCGTTTGATAGCCCTCTTTCTCTATCAACTGTATTGCTTCCTTACAAAATGTCAACAGCCGCCGCACAATGCCAGGGCACACGGTGATTGTTAATTAAAGCTCTCTAATTTTAGAGTTGATACGGCCATTTAGTGCCTGAGACCACGTGTTCCCTTGTCAGTGGCCACCTTAATGACCTCTGAAGACTCTAGCACTCCTGTGGCTCTGGTTCATTGTTTGTAGAGTAAGTCTGTGCATCATAATCAAAACTTTGGAAGGCGGAAGTGGTGGAGGCAGAAGCCAAGGTCTCATGGATGCTAGGCCGGAATTCTGCTACTGAGCCACACTCTCAACCAATGAAATGTTTTGTTTTGTTTTCACTTTTTTTTTTTTCCTGTGAAATAGCTTAGCTGAAAATTTAATCTACAGCATCACATTCTTATGTGAACATTGGATACAGCCCAATGGTAACTTGAGTCTGTGATCACAGAACTTAAAAAACTTATAAACAAAGAACAGGGAAGATGACTCAGTTAGTAAAATGCTTGCCATGCAAGCATGAGGACTTGTGTTTAATCCGCAGAGCCCATATCAAAAATCCAGGCATGGTGGCATGTTCTTATCATCGTCTCTGGGGTGGCAGAGAGGGGCAGATCTCCCATGTGCCCCAGAAAGCCAGCCTAGGCTACTAGGCAAACCTCAAACTAAAGAGAGACCCTGTGTCAGTAAAACAGAGTGGGTGGCTCCTGAGAGTGAGCATCTGGTCTTCACAGATGCATGTGTGTTCACACACAAAATAAAGAATAAAGCATGTGGACCCTACAGGTAGAAAGTCTCACAACAGCTCTGATAAAAAGGGCATCTGTGAGTCCATTTCTTGAGGTGAAAGCAAAAAAGAAAACATGCACTTAGGGGGAGGAGGTTAAAATTAGGAGTGGTGGGTTTGAATTCAAGAAAGTGCAGGCAAGCATTCAAGATGGAAATAAAGACTACAGAAGCAGCGCTGGGTTTGCCTCGGATGGTGAGGAAGATGGTTTCAAAGTCAGCTGGCTTTTGCAGTCCCTACCTGCGGGCTCTTCTAGCACAATGTTAAGTCTCTGCCAGTGCGGAACATCAGTGTTGAGCAGTTGGCTTTTCAGAAGGGTTAGACTAAATGATTGCCATGCCCCCACCTCTAGCCTATCCTGGGAAAGTTGGCATATGAGAGATCCCCAACCACAAACAGGCTAGCTAATGTGCCCAACATCACAAAGAAAGCCAGGTGTTCCAGGACAGTTATATTAATTGTCAGGTTGACAGATCTTGGAATCACCTGGGAGAAGGATCTGTGGGAGGCTGTCTTGATGGTGTTAGCTGAAGTGAGAAGACCCACCCACTGTGGGCAGCAGCAGTCAGAATCCTGGACTGTGTTCCTGGAGAAATCCAGCTGAGCATGCGTTCCTTGCCCTCTTCTTGACTGTGAATGCAAGTCAAGACCAGAGGCTTCAAGCCCCTTTACCTCCCTGCCATGATGGGCTGTGCCTTGATCTGTGAACCAAAACAAACCCTTCTTTCTGGTCAGCATTCTTTATCACAGCAACTGAAAAGCAACTAAGACAGACTCAAACTCCAGATCACATAGATAGATAGATAGATAGATAGATAGATAGATAGATAGATAGATAGATAGATAGATAGATAGATAGATAGATAGGGAAGATAGTGCTTCTCTCTGCCTTTCTTTCCTTTTGTTCCACAGACCCCAGGCAAACTTTACCACAGTCACCTCAGAGAAGTGAAACCACAAAGCAAATATTTGTCATTCTATGACTGGCTTGTTCCAAATGGCATATTGTCTTCTGGGTTCAGCTATGTTGGCTGGTCATTTGTAGGTAGAATTCAGCAGGCAGATGAGGAGTGAGAGAGAGGTAAGGAAGTGAACATCTTCCCGAGCCGGGACCTGAACCAGAGAGTCCTGTGGAAAGCTGAGTTAGTCAGCGCAATGCCCCACTTCCAGTACATCTTTTCTTACCATCTGGACCCCACTTCCCAGATGTTAGTGGGCTGGGAGTCTTTGGCCCTCACTGAGGCTCAGGCGGCAGTGATGAAACACTGACACCTCTATTGGCCAAATGAAAAGGGGATTTGGATACTCTTCCTCCTCCAGAGTAGGGAAACAGAAAACAAGCAAAGGGGAAAGCTATGAAAGAACGCACGAGAGGCCCAGGCCACCCTGGCACATGCCGAGGAACGCCTGAAGCCATAGGAACGGGAAGGGCTAGGAGGGCCCTCCCCAGACTGCACAAGCGTTGTGACCTTGCTGACACCCAAGGCTTGACTCTCTGGATCCAGATTGTGAGAAAGGAAGTTCATTTACTCTTAAGATGCCGAGCTCATGAGCATCTCTCCTGGAAGCTTTAGGATGCTGACATGTTGGCCCATCACCTCAGAAAACAAGGCCAAACCCAGGACTCGGGCAGCTCCTCCTCACCACACCTATTGCGCCCTGTCCCCTCCGCCGTCACTTAGTTGTCAGTGACTGCTTGACTCTCCTCTCTTGCCCACCTCTCATCCTCTCCCTTTCAGCTTTCCTAGCCAGCCTCTCGGCATCACACCAGGGGATCTCGGGGGGCCCCCTCGCCACCACCGCCCTGGGAGCCTCCATTATGAATGCTGGAGTTATACTTCACCCTGCACCGTGTGACAGCCAGAACTGCTCATTTGGAGTAAAAGCCAGAGAAAAATAAGCAAACAGCTGCGATCATGTCATTACCGAGTGGCAGACACTCTCACCCTGCCCTCCCTCCACATCTTCTTTCTCACCCAGGTCATCATCCCTCCTGATACCCAGTAATTTCAGTCATTTTCTACCTGCATTTCTGTTCATCTCCTGAGAATTCTCATTTTCTAATGCAGGAAGGTTCTTGGTCTCTCTGAGCCTGGGTGAGACGGAGGACCTTGCACTGGGGGTTGATGGGGTGGTGGGGTGGGAAGGCTACTGAAGCTCATTTGCTATGCAACTCCAGCAGAAGGGAATAGGCATGAGAGACAGCCTGGGAGAAAAAGATCTAATTACTTCATTCCTGTCTCTCTCTCTCTCTTCCCCCACAGCCCTGGTCATTTCTAGCCTTCGCAGGGCAGGGCTCCTGTCACTGGGCCAGCAAAGAGCCTAGTGCGTAAGAATAAGATGCCCTAGGCTCAGGCAGGATGCGTACAAGTTCAAGGATAGCCTGGGCATCCTAGTGACACCCTGTCTCAAAATTAAAAAGCAAAAAGAGGTAGGGGAGGGATACAGCTCAGTAACGAAATGCTTGCCTACCACATGTAAGGACTGTGATTTATTCCCCAGCATGACAAACAGCCGCAACAGCAGAGACTAAGACAATCTGCACTCAAGCGGAGGTCCTTGGACAGGAGACCTTCTGTGTGAGCCCATGCACAGAAGTCCTTCAGTGCCCTCTACGTTGTCTTTACAAAAGAATTACATATTTGAGAGGTTAAAAATCACATACTAGCAAAGGCTCATTTCTAAAATCCCCTGTCCTGGCTGTGTGCCCTCTGCCCAGCCTCTCCTACAGGCAACTCTTGGCACTTTGGGAGAATCTTTTCTGAGCTGTACGTATGTGCTTAAGCAGCAGTTTGGTGATTTACCGTTTGAGAAGCAGCTCTTTACTCCGTGTGATGGAGCATGAAGGCTTTGCGTGTATTTGTCATACTCCTTACTCCCTCCTCACAGCGGTGACATTT